CAATGTGACAGCTTCAAACCTCACACAATGTTCTCTACTTTGTTTGCTGTTTATATGTGAATCGTTAAGCAAGCAACACGCTGTGGCAAAACCATTGGGTGCACTTTGGCTGCTTCAAACATTACCAAATACCAAAGTAGGGCCACAGGCCCACCCACTAAGGAGCCAAATTGTGGCATGGTGTGTGCATATGTCTGATGGGCGCAGGTGCTGCTCAGATGGCAACTTCTTTCCAATGGTTTTCCAGCAGTCAAGTGGGTTGGGGATGCAATGTAATGTGGGCTGTCTTGCTGACGGTTAAGTCTTGCAAGGTCTCTTTTTTGCTAGTTGTCATTGTGCATGCTGATCTGGGTGAAGGCCGCTTGGCGTGTTGTGCCATCATTGATTCATCACGCCCCTGTGAGCAATGTTTTGGCTCCTGACAGATCCGCCCCCCCCCCCCCCACCTAGATATTGCAGTGGGGGGGCTCCCTTCTCCTTATGTGAGTGGACAACTGATTAGTAGTTTAATGTTGTGGCATCAACAGGCGACATGCCGCCCAACAGGTGATCAGCATGTATTGTCAGATGTGCACTGTGGCAATGTTGCTGCACACTGCTGTAGGTTGTTGCACTCGAATGCAAGGAGTCATTGCCGTCGTCGGTCATCATCATCAGCATCATCATCACCATCATCACCATCATCAAGGAGTTTGCTGCAGTGGCTGCAAGTTACTCCTGCAGTAACCCCACTCGGGGACATGCCCGCAATTGTGCCTGCCTAAGCAGCGCACCTGGTATGGCGGCTGCAGCACACTAATCACTGCTTTTGACGGCCATTGGGTTGTGCCACTGGCTGGCGTGGTTCATTGTGACAATGTTGCTGCAAATCAACTGCATTTAGATGTCTCCAGTTCCTGCGCAGCCGTAATACGACTAGTATGCTTGCTTGCATAAGTATGATCAGAATATTGCACGTGCCTCAACGTCAATTATACAGGCGTACAGCTAGGCAACACACAGTGCTGGCACAAAGCAGACTTCACAGTGGGAAGTGCAGCTACAGCCTGGTGTGGGGTTCGCCAAACTCTTGATGAAGCAGCTTCCCTGTGTGTGCTTGCCATGACTTGTGTCTGCCTGAGGCACCACGCCACTGGATCATGACTGTTACGCCAATGGTATGCTGAGTCAGCATAGCCACTGCAGCAAATGTTATGATGTGACCAGTCAGCAGCTGTGAGCATAAGATTGGAGACAGACACTCTGTTGCGGCAATGTTGAGCGCTTGCAGGCGGTGTGATGGTGTGTTGCCACAAGTACCAACTCCTGTGCCACAATGTCTGGGTGCTCCACAATCAGCCACGTAGCTGATTGTTGTATGATGATCTCGGATCTCATGCTTTATGCAGCAGTGCATCCATATGTCACATGGTGACAATGTAACGAGATGTGACATATGGTACCCTCGGTTGCTAATTGTTGCATTCAGGTTGCTGTGGTGACCCATTGGCCCCTCAAAGCAAGGAAACTGAGGCTGCCATTCAAACAGCGACCACCAGCCTGGTAGCGCCCAGACCGTCTCGCAGCAGTGCTGCCGCCTTTTCCAGTCAACCTCGAACACCGTGCTGTGATAAGCAGCAACACTGTGCTCTAGCAGGGCAGCCCTGCCATGTGTTGTTACCAATAGTCTGTCAACAGCTGTCAACAGCTGCAGGCACCTTGTTGTGTCGCATTCAACCTGCTGAACACTATTGTACTCCACACACTGAGAAGTCCCGTCATGACATTATCATGCCTCAGCCGCACAGAGTTGAGTGCCAATGTACTGTAGTATAATGAAGCTACACCGGACTCTAGTGCTTATAATGTGCTCAGTGCATCCAGCGGCTCATTAGAGTGGGTAGTCACCCTCAATAGAGCCTGCATTGCTTAGAAGTCACCCTCAATAGAGCCTGCATTGCTTATCATCTGTCATTACAGCTGCCGTGCCAAGCTGCCGCCAGGCCAACAGCCAAGGTTGGGCCATACATAGTGGGTTCTACTGACCATCTGACTGTGTCTGCTTGCAGTCAAAGGCCTGTGGCACGTCGCCCTGCAAAACAGGTCAAGCTGCGCCTCAATGCACAGCCGAATGATTTCAAACTGCGAAATGGGGAGCATTCGGCCGAACTTGAGGCGTACCAGGAGGCCCCGGCACAGCTTGGCGCTGCTTATACGTCCACTATCACCGTGCTATAGCTACAACAGCAGGTTTCTGCAGCTCAACTTGCGGCCACTGCTGCAGTCCAACAAGCACATGCGCAGCTGCTGGGAGCGCTTCGTCAGGCGGTCAATGCCAGTTTCGGGTTTAAAAGGGTCTGGGTTGGCAAGTCCTTCCCGTGGTGGACACAGGAGCTCACAAATGCTGTGCAGGCCAGGGTGCAGGCCTTTACACAGCACAGGGAGTCCGGCCTTGTTGCAGACTGGGATGCAATTGATCATCAGCGCAAGGCAAGTCTACTGCACAGCTTATCAAAGCAGCTGAGAAGCAGCACAAACAGCGATGTGAGCATGCAATCACTGTAGCGTACATAGACCGCTTAAATGACGACAGCACGCTTGGGGAGAAGGATATGTGGCAGCTTGTGCGTCGCGTGTGCCCTAAGCATGTCAGCCAGGCCGTGTGCAGTGTCATGCAGCACCCCTCAGGACAGACGGCTTCAACCCCTGCAGAAAAAGCAGATGCATTCTAATGCCATTATCAGCGTGTTGGTAGCCATGCAGCGTTTGCTGCCTCAAACCCCCAGTTCGACCCAGCGCACATGCACAGGTTGCCGGCAATGTACAGCGGTACCTTCATGACTCAACCGCACCTCATGCTGCCCCACCCTGCCCGCTGGACTTGCCCATCACTGCCGCCGAGGTTTCTGCATGCTTGCGCGTCTAAGCACAGGCAAAGCTGGCAACCCTGCAGAGGAAGGCATTGTCAACGAGCTTTTGAAGTACGAAGGCAACACAGTTGCAGACATGCTGCTGCAGTACTGCAGCCTCATGTGGCAGCTTGAGCAGGTACATCAGGTGTCGGGGACAGTCGTCAGCATGCCTAAGAAGGGCGATCTGACAGACCCAGGCAACTACCGCGGCATCACCCTGCTCAGCGTGCTCTATAAGTTTTACACCAGCGTCCTCAATCAGCGCCTAATCAAGTTTGCAGAGGGCGAGCAGCAGAAGCAGCAGCAGCAAACACAAGCACAGCAGCAGCAGCAGCAGCAGCAGCACAGCAGCAGCAGCAGCAGCAGCAGCAGCAGCAGCAAGGCCAGCATTCAGCACAACAGCAGCAGCAGCAGCAGCCATGCGCAACTGCTGCTACAGCAGCAGCGCGCCGCTGATGCACGAGATTCAGAACGGATTCCGCCCCAAGCGCAGTTTGCTGACCATCAAAGCGTGCTCAGCGAGGTCCTTAATGGCAGGAAAGCTGAGGGAAAGGAGTCATATGTGTTGTTGTTGACATCTTCAAGGCATTCCCTAAGGTCTGGCTTGATGGCTTGTTCCAGAAGCTGTGGGATAAGGGTGTGCGTGGCAGGATACCGCGTCTTGTACAACTTGTATCAGGGCGCGCAGCGTGTGGTGTCTCATGGGGGTTGCACCACGGATAGGTTCACCTGCGACCTTGGCCTGCATGAGGATGATGTTATTTCGCCCACACTGTACCTGTTGTTTATGACGATTTGCTGCGTGACGTGCATGCAAAGCACCCTGGCGTTACCCTCATGGGCCCCAGTGACGAACCTGCAGGCCAAGTTGTGGCAGCCATGCAGGCTGATGACTTTGTTGCTGTCTGCGGGTCTCTGTCTGAAGTTCAGGCTGTGGCTGCAACTGTCTACAATTACAGTTGCGAGTGGCGTTTCAAGCTCCACAGCTTGAAGTCTGCCGTCATGCATGTGTTGCCAGCAAGACAGACCAGCCAGCTGGTCGACTCCGGCATTGTTTGGAACAATGTCCCTGTGCCTGTTGTATCGGAGTACTGCTATCTTGGCCTGTGGTTCAACAATACCTGTACATGGACCACACATTTTGAGAAGATGCTGGCTAAGGTGCAACGTGTGAAGGGTGCGCTCATGCCAATTTGGAAGAGCCGTAGCATCAGTGTGGAGGTTAAACGCATACTGTTGCTGACGTGTGTCCGTCCCATTGTTGAATATGGCAGTGAGGTTTGGTTTCCTTCCACAGCTAGGCAACTGCAGCTGATTGACAAAGTGCAGACAGACATCATCAAATGCGCAATGCACTGTGGCAAGGAGCGCCCATGCTCTTCAGCTCTCTTGGCAGAATGGGGTGTGAAGCCGTTGCATATGTGGCTTCATCAGAGGCTTTGGAGAACTACTACAGGATTCAGCGTATGCAGGGGGTTCGGCTGCCAAATCAAGTGTTTACAGCTGAATGGAGGCGTATAGTGGTGCTGTGGCGGTGACAGCGTGGCACAAGTATGTGCAGAGCCTGCTGTGCAAGTATGTTGTGATGTTGTGGAAGGCAGAGCCAGTGCGTGCAAGAGCCATGTCACAAGCGGCCAGGGCATTACATGCTGAAAGGATTGCATGTGAAACATTGGAACACTCCACTTGAGTCGGTATGTGGCTCATGTGCATCCCACTCATGTTGATGCTATGGGTTCAGGAGGCCTAGGCCGTACTTGCGTTCAGTGGCAACACCACGTGGTATCAGAATGCTTTTGCGTGTTCGTATGGGTTGTCTGTGTGTACATGAGCGTACTAGTCAGTTTGGGGGTCGCAGAGCTAACTCCATTTCAGGATGTCCTTGTTGTGGTGCAGAAGTTGAGTCTTTGTCACACTTGATGTTTGATTGCCCTGCTACTTCTGCTCAGAGGGATAGTATGTTTGCTGAGATCAGATCCCTGCCTGGTTGCGCTGAAAGTTGCGCAGCGTTTTGTTTATGGCTGATTCATCTATCAAGTGTTGCGTTTGGCATCTGGGGCAGTGCTCCCAGGATATTGGGGCAGTTCTGGAAGATGTCGGATGGTGTATGGTTGGGTAGTTTAGTGGTAGAACACCGGCATCGCATGCTGGACCCAGTTCAATCCTGGTCCAACCGCCCGTGCTGGCATTAAAGCAACTGGAATTGTCGGACTGCGGGGGTTTCGATCGCCAAACAAGGAAAGACTGGTCAACTACGATCACTCATGGCGGGTAGCGGCTCGCTGGCTAGTGCCTGAGGTCAGGTTTCAATCCTGAAGATGTATTGTATTTTGTATTGTATTGCTGCTTTTCTTGTCAAGTCTTGGGATGTGCGCAATGCATGCAAACATTCTGGAGCAGTGCTCCCTCCTCTTTCCGCCCTGGTGGCGGCGGGGCCGATGGCGCTGGTGCTATGGCTTGAATGGGTAATATGATAATGATGATGATGATGCTGTGCAGCCTGCAGCATGTGACACCGGGTGGCGCTTTGAAACTGGCAAGGCATCTGGGATGTCGTTCAGCAAAATGTATGGTATGCCGGTGCTGGCTGCACAGTAGCGTTGAAGCTGTTTGGTCACCCAGTGCATTGGCTTGCAAGACAGTGAAGCACACCATAACCAAATCATGGGAACCTGACATGCAGTGGTCGCTCTGCTAAAAGGGTTCAACTTTGGTCCGGGTGCTGGGCACCTCCTGGTTTAGGGCGTGTGGCGGTCTTGCTGGTGAGGCAGTGCCTCAGGCTGCCGGCAATTGATTTCGCCTGGCTGCTGTGTGTGGCCAGCCAATAGGATTACGCTCCCCCTGGTAACCACACACAAAAAAGGGTTCAACAGCAGTGACTGCTGATGTGTACGGTGCACGGGCCTCGTATCAAGGCGTGACCAGCCATAGGCGAAAGACAAACCCTGAGGGCAGCTTCAACCTGATGAAGCACCCCACATTCCCTGAAGCAGTACATTTGTCTTTTGTCACTGTGTGCATGCTGTACAATATGCCCGTGTTCATGAGTTTCCTGGTGTGTCGCCGGTAGGCAGCGAGCTCACCAGGTGAGTTGGGGTGCCTTGCTACACCCCCAAATAGCCCAGAATCAGCCAATCGAACGACCCAGCCGAAATGGTGGGCCCCACTTGTACAGTACGGTACGTGGGGCTTGCCTGGGCAGTACCAGCAGCACATCGTGTGTGTCGTGCCGCACGCCTTTCATGTAGTAATGTTATGCTTTCTGTTAAACCGAGTGCACATCCTAGCAGCATGCGGTGTCGATCGCCAGCTTGTTCAGTTAGCTGACAAGGCCCAAGGTTCATCATCACGCCGATCCCGGAGAGGCAACTTATCACTATGCACTTGCCACGACACTGTGTCAACTTTTCCGAACTCTTCTTCAAAAGCGTTGCAAGACAATAGCCGTGTGCTGGTCCTTTGTTCGCCAACCCCAGATCACAAGCGTTTCGCTGGTTGCCTTTGATCGAAGTGCCCAAATCTTCAGCCTGCACGTGAGACTTCTGTGTCGAGTGCAAAACGTCTGAAGGCGGCTGAATAGATCAGTGCTGCACCGGCAGCGGCTATAGTAGAAGTATGCTGCACAACAGCCAAGCAGCTGCTTCGAACAGCAGCTGGCGTGCTGCACCTGTGCAGGCCCTCGCCAGCCACAGCAGCATCAAGTGCAGCATAAGAACATACACTGGCCTAGGCCCTCGCGCAGCACATCACAGGACTCGAGAGTGCTGCTGTTGTGCCAGCATCAGCAGCAGCAGCATCAGCAGCCGCAGCAGCCTGGCGTTAGGCCTGGCAGCCGCGCGCCCTGTGCATGCCCAGCGCATGCCGTCCCTGGTGGCGAGGTTCAAAGATGGTGGGCAGGTTTCATGGGCAACGGTGATGCAGGAGGCTTTGCGTGGCAAGGGCAGCACCACAGCCGTGCTAGGTTGGCCTTGCAGCGAGCGCAGGGTCGCGCCCTTGGGCCGCTCATGGATTTGGCGATCCTGGAACAACGTCAGCGCTGCACAGCTGCCAGCATAGATGCCTGTTGAGCGCAATTGCAATTCATTTGCCCCAGCGGCAAATGAATTGCCCCAGCGATCCGCAGCAATGCTTGGCATTTTGCAGCACGTAAGGCAGCATACAGAACACGTGTGCAGCGCAGCAAGTCCCTGCTGCTCTTGCTGCTGCTTCTGCTCCTGCTGCTGCAGGTGACAGAGGCACTGAGGCTGAGCCTGCTGTGCGGCCACAGCAGCAGGCAGCCGGACAGCAGGCCCTGGCTGAGGCTGAGCAGCAGCAAGAGGCGCCATCTTCATCAGGTGAGATGCAGCAGGAGTCGGCCTGCGAGGTGTGGGGCGCAGCAGGTGAGGGGAGGGGGGTTCTGCTGTGCGGTGGGGCACGACGGCCGCGATGGGTGGCGGCATGCATGCGCTGCGTGCTTGTGAGTGTGCTGAGTCCAGCTGGGTGCACTGTGAGTTGCATGCTGTGGGTTTCCCCTTTTGGGCCTGGTGAGGGCAGCATATTGTGTGGGTGCCTGAACCTGGCTGATGCACTTGCAGGGTAGGGCCCACGTAGTAACGCAGCACTTTGCCGGGGCATTTTGGGGTTTGCTGGCAAAGGGACGTGCATTGCCTCCATTGATGCGCATGGTGCCTTCCCCCCCTTGCACCTGATGATGTTATTCTAGCAATGCCTGAGGCCCATCTGGGCGCAATGATACACCAAAAATGGCTCTGAAGGTGCATGGGGGGCAGCATGTTGTTGCTGCTTTCAGGACATCTGCAGCCACAGCACAGCAGCAGGTGGTGTGTGCTGCGTCACCGGAGCGTTTTGTGCTGTTGCAAGGGCATGTCATCACACTGCCAGGGTGGCAGATGCGTCGACAGCATTGATGTTGAAGGGTGCTGTGGTGTCGTGCGGAACATGAGCAGCAGGCTCTGGCAGGACCTGGCGATGCACAAAAAGTCGCTGCATTCACCAGGCATGGAGGCAGGCATGGCAGGCGTGCACGTGTGCTCAAGCCCAGCATCGACAGCGCATGGTCGGCTGAGGGCCCTGTCAGCCACGGCGCACACGCCATCAGCATGGATTGTCTTGCTGTACCTTGTGAGGGGAGCGTGTCTGGTGCAGCAGGCTCTGCTCTGCTGTTGGAGTGGGTCGTGGCGCTCGCTGGGTCGTGTACATCGGGTCCCACCACCAGAATGCCGCAGCTGCACGTTTCTGTTCCTGTGAGATGGACCACGTGTCGGCCCCCTGATGAGCATGACCCGCCTCGCTTGCATGCCTCATGGCAGCCTCTGGCACTGGCCACGGCAAGCGTCGGCTGAATGCTGAAACACGTGTGTGTACATGTTCCACTGTTTCGCTGCGGCGGCGTGTCTATTTCAGGGGCTTTGCTGTTGACGGCCACGCACGCGTTGCACCTCTCAGAAGCGCATGCACCTGCACTGGTGACAGGAGGCTGCTGCTGCCATGCATCCTGCAGTTGTGCTGCCTGCCACCTCATCACCAGCGACCTGAGCCCTGCTGCTTCCACGCCCCTGCCTCCCGCGTGCGCTGCAGCTCTCGCGCCGGTGGTGTTTGAGCTGGGCAAGCACTGCGCGTACGGCAACAGCTTCGCCATCATTGGCGAGGCGTCATGCCTGGGGGGCTGGGACCCGCAGCACGCGGCAAGGCTGGAGGTGAGTGGCCAGCATGTCCTGGCTGGTGGTGCAGTGCAGGGCTGGCGGTGCCATGCAGGCTCAGTTGTCCGGCGAGTGCAGTGTTGGCACGACTACTTGGAGAGCGGCTGGTGTGCTTCGTGATGGTCGCAGGCTGCTTTTTTGCAAAGCACACACGTGGGTGATGCGTCGTCGTTGCAAGGCACGCTTTTGTATGTTCTGGTGGGCGCCCCTGCGGTTCTCCCGTTCCTCCTCCCACTACAGGCAGCAGCAGTCACTCATGAGACAGCAACGCCTACAGCAGATGTATCCGGTTTCTAGTGAGCCGTTTATGATTGCTGGTGTGGGCTGGCAGTGCCCTTGTGGGAGGATTCATCCCACGCGGGAGTGCACTGACGCTGTGGTCCAGCTCAGGGCCATCAGTGATTAGGGTTTGGTTATGATCATTGCATGAGAGATCTGTCAAGCGAGCGCTCTTGCGTTCAAGGTTTTGGCCGTATCTGGCCCTAGCTTGTGGGCCTGCGCCCACCGGTTAGGAGCCACTGAAGGTGGTTTGGGAGCGGCTCCCCTTTCTTTTGGGTTGTCACTCTTGCTAGAAAAACGTGTAATTGATTGATTGATTGGTGGGCGCCCAGTGGAGCCCAAGACCTTCTTTGTGGGGCCATATGTTCGGTGCGATGCTCAACGTAGCAACCTTCTGGGGATGCTGAACTGTGTGCGTGGTTTCTGGAGCTTTTGTTTGCAGCGACAGAAAATGGTGTCAGGAGGGCACCACAATGCATGGCATAGCAGCACGAGCGCACCATGGCGGGGAGGGGGGTCTGACGTGCACCAAGGCAACATGGCTTAGCAACTGAGACGGCTTGCATTCGCTGCCATGTGTGGTCGGGTCCTCAGCGGGTGTTGCACAGCAGGCAGCAGCACATGGCTTCTGGCTTGGTTGGTCACTTTGCCCAATCCTTTCCAGTATGGTGGTGCCTTGAGCGGGAGCAACAAACTCGGGGCAGCCACAACGGCTGCCGTCAGCGCACCTGTTGTAAGCTGTCATGTGTGGCTCAGCTCGTCCTGCTGCATTACTGCCACTGCACCTGCTGCTGCTGTGCCGCAGTGGTCGGAGGGTGACGTGTGGCACGCCACCGTGCCGCTGCCCATCAACACGCCCATCGCCTTCAAGTACATCGAGCTGGGGCCGCGGGGCGAGCTGGTGGGCTGGGGGCAGGACCTGTGCGCCGGCGGCAACATGAGCGTGCTGGTGGAGCCCGCCCAGGACTGCGTCACAGGGTTCACCGTCAGCCTGGACCCAGCCATGCCAACGGGTGAGCGGGCAGGCCGCGCAGCAGAAACGAAATAGGCTTCAGTGTACGCCGGGCCGACGTCAGCCGATGTTGCGTGTGTGTGTGGACATGGGGTCGATTCAAAACCATCTCGTGCATCAGCTGCAGCACTGCTGCCGCACGTGCCGGACCAGGCACACCACGTTCTTGCAGTTGGCAGCGGGAGT